GATCTTCGCACCTATATTTATCGGCATCCCGACTCCTTTGTTGATCGGAACACAGTTTTCTCATTAATCAGCACTTTTTCAAATTGCGCATAACACTGTCCGCATCGTTCGCGAAGTCCATCTCCATCACTTTTCATGCAAGCCTATGAGTGAAAAATGCGGATGTGGAAACGGGATGGTAACGACATGACCAGCGGCGCCCTTGCGATCTAAGAAGCTTTCTTGCTCTGTCCCACCCAGATGGGATCCCGCCGCTTTCACCATCCGGATCTACTCTCCTTCGCGCGGAGGAAAATGGGCCTCTGTGAAAACCCTTGCACAAAAGTGCTATACGAGGTTTTACCTGCGAGAACATTCGTATCGATGTATGAACACCCCTTAGCTAGGGAAGGGGGGAGGGGGTTACACAAGGCGTACAATCACTCTCTCTCCCATTCTCAAGAACGGATCCGACAGTCGCAAAAGCCGAAGAGAAAGGAATCACTGGAGAGAGTGAGACGGGCATCCCAACCCGTGGAAGACTTCCACGAACTTTGGGTCGGTTCAGGCCAGAGGTGTCAAACTGCCGGCTCGCTTTTCGATTTGGTCCGCTTGGCAAAGTCCTCTTCAACAGTTGATTTTGGAAAAGCGTAGACTTTTCCAACATGTTTGCAATTGAAACTTTTGTGCAAGCATTGCTAATGTGGACCCACTCACTTCTGAAGGGTTCCATACGACCGCCAGCTTAATCAAGTTTGACATCTCTGGCCTAGGCTTACCGTGTAACAGGGTCGTCGAAAGGAATTGTGAGGCAATATTTTCGTAAGGATTTTCTTTCCACCTTACCCCCCTCCCCCCTACTTTAGACAACCTCCGTGAATTCTTCACTGCTAACGAAAGCTACGCTACTGACAAATAGTACATATATCATCGGACATGCCCCCCTGGGCAAATTGCCCCTTTTGTTCTCGTCCCCCCCCTCCTCTACGGTCCTGAACGTAGTCGGGAATCCACGACTTCAGTCAGTCAGAGGCTCTTTGAACACTATACGCGGCAGTAGCTCTCACTCCTATTCTCGAGATCGGATACGAAAATCACAAAGACAGAAAAGAAACTGCCATCTCGAGAGCAATAGGGAGACCCCAACCCGTGGAAGACATCCACGAACTCCGGGTCGACCTAGGCTAAGCGTGGATTTTCATATATTCACATATTCAGTCAGCAGCCTATCAACGTTCCACGCAGCGGCTGCTCGGACGTTGTACGTCTTGCGCATCCCTCCGCCTCCCTCTCACCCATGATACGCCTATGATACGAACTTTTTTTAGAGGCACTCTTATCTCGTATCGATGGCGACTCTGTCCGTATCGTCCATGAAGTCCATCTCCACCGCTTTTCATGCAGGCCCATGAGGGAAAAATACGATAGAGAAACGGTTTGGTATTACACATCCGAAGCAGTCTTTCCGATTCACGGGTAAGCGCTCCTGTTCTATCCCATCCAGATGGAATCCCGCCGCTTTCCCCTTTGGGAGTCATTCTCCTTGTGAGAGTGCCGATCGATACGAAGACTGGTTTCCGATCGATTAAGTGAACGAGATCCCGATAAATACTGGGGCGGAGATTCATTCCCGGCGAGGAAGTCATCCTTCCTCAAGGGATAAAAGGGGACTCCAAATGTAATATGCGGGAACGTTTCTTCACGTCCCCGCGGTCCGGAACCGAAGTCCGTACCGGAACCCATAGGGAGCCAGGGGTGAGTGCCGAATCCCGCTCTCTCCCGTTGTAGTGTTTGGGATAGGATGGAGAGAAAGGAGGGAACACCTTTCGTTCGGAGGTGTAGTGGCAGCACATTTGACCGGCAATTAGGAGGCCACGGGTTCGATTCCCGTACGTGGTTTTCTTTCGTCTTCGTATACCATCCGATCTCTTACCCTCCCATCCGCGGGATATTATGTTTTCGAAAAAGATCCAACACCCACAACGGCCGGAAAGAAAGTGGGAGCTGAAAAGTGCGAGACAGACACCGGGAACGAGGGAGGCAGGCACTGCGCATCCGCACACGGTGCTTGCGGCCATTCAGATGCCCAAGCATAATATCCTATACATTAAGAACGTAATGAAGCTGCTTGCATATGAAGCCGCCGATACCGCGCATGTGCGGCGCCTTCTGGCTGCCTCGGGTTTACGTCTCCCTCTCTCTCGCACTTTTTTTTTCGGCCGTTGCGACTGGCGAATCCATCCTCGAGTGTGTAATAGCTCGAGGAGAAAAGGGGAGGGGGGAGAGTTCGGATGGCACAAGGGGACTAAAATACCAAATGAAGCGGCCGTGAATCGAATCCTTCGCCTCCAGATTACCTAACGAGCGTGCTACCACTACACCATAGAACCCTACTCTTTCAGTAGTGCTTTCCATGTCATCCCTGACACTACAACGGGAGAGAGAGCCATTCTACGCTCTTTGAAAATTCCGAGCGTTTGGGGAGTAAAAATTGAGCACACCGTGAGCTTTTCGAATTTACTCTCTTATTACTCACCAAAATGTTCCCTCATCGCTCATATTGAAGTGAACACCTTGAAGTTCTTCGCCAGGCCACTAGATGGAGGTAAGGGCCTCGCTTTTCGCATAGTGCACAAAAGTTCCCTTCTCTCTTTCCCTGGAATCGTCCCTCGCAGGATTGTTTAGTACCTTGACATATGTCTCGCCTAGTCTCATTGTAGGAATCAATAAACACGGACTCTTCATCATTTGTTATCCACATATTCAAGACATATTCATAGAGTCCAGGCCATAAACAGGCTCATTTTCCTATTGAGAACCCTTTGGGGAGGCGTATGATTTTATCTGCATAGGAGATCTAGAATGTACAGAGTGTCCGTGCACTTCATTCAATCATACCTCAATTATATGAGGTAATGCGGGATTGATATTCCGGACACTCCACGGAAGCAATGGTCCGCCCTCTGACGAGTGCTGTAAACAGTACGGTCAGAGGTAGGTCAACGCCTGTACAAGATCGAAAGCAACACACAGTATATATGAGAATTTTCGTATTGGCATGACATCCCTACCACTTTCTGATTGGAGCGTTGTTACTCACGGAGGAGAGCAATTTTACACCTTGGTGATGGAGTAAATTCGCTCCTTTCCCAGAGTGAAAACTGTGGTGAAACTGGAGTTAGCTATTTTACTCTCTTTTTTGAGAAAAATCGTTCCCCTTTTTCTTAGAGTGTACGCCCCCCCCACGCTCCTACTTAGTTCACTCCTCTGATATGGACTTTTCTGCATGAACGTTTTACACGTCCCCGCGTATTACACTTGGAGTCACCTTTCATCCCTGGAGGAGGGATGACTTCTTCGCCAGCATGAAATCTCCGCTCATTTATTTTTCGTGATCTCGACCTCTTTATCAATCAAAACCCCATCCTTCCCGCACTATCGCTGCCAGTGGCGGGCATTACAATGAAACCTCACATAACGACATACATAGACTGAAGAAGTATCAGAAACGAATAGGGAGTCGAAAGGTGATGTGTACCCCCCTAAGTACCGTGGTCCAAGTGGTTCATGAACTCCCCTGAAAAGAAGCACGCCAGGATATGGTAGGCCGTACAGGACCAGGTGCAACTCGATCGAAAACAAATCTGTAAAAAATTATTTTGCAAGCAACGTTGCAGCAGGCAGTCAAGTATATACTGTATACAGGGTGTCTGAAAAGTCACTCCCTATTTTAAAATTGTTATTGCTCCTAAACCAAAGGAGATATTAAAGCATTTCTTTAACTGAATTGAAGCTTATTTTTTACCATTTACTTTATAACAAAATTGAAAAGCTTTATTACAAAGTTAAAATTCAACGTAGTCTCCAGCATTGTCCACACATATCTGTAACCTTACCGGAACATTTTCAACAGATTTTCTCAAGAAGTCACCTGGTGCAATGCCTAGAATATCACGAATTTTGTTTTCAAGTTCATCAACGGTCCTTGGTTTTGATTTTTAAACTAATTCTTTCGCCCAACCCCACAGAAAAAGATTTTAAGTCGCACGGCGTTAAATCTGGACTTCGAGCAGGCCATTCCGTTGGCACTCGACGACCAATTAAATTAAGTCGCTCGTTCTTCTATGCTTAATTTTTCAGCCATTATTCACTTATAATAGAAATGGTAATGATTAAGCTTAAAACAGTGAAAGAACGGTTACAATATCTCCTTCAGTTTATCAGCAATAGCAATTTAAAAAGAGGGAGTGACTTTTCAGACACCCTGTAGATTTCATCTCTGCTTTTCGTTTTTGAGAGGGTTTATATAGATGGTCAAAATGCTTTTGGCGGGATCAGCTTCATAATTGCTCTTAAAAAGTGGAGCGGTTCATCGGGAATGGATTTTGTCTAAATGAACTAATGCACGACTTGCATGATAATTTGGCAACATCCCAGAATGACTTCTTAGTTGAAAAAAAAAGAGCTGCCCGTATAACGTCATTTGCAGACACCCAATTATTATACGGGTACATGCTAAGCGAAGGGTGCGAATGTGTACTCGAGATTTTTCTTTAAAAAGAATGAAGGGGGTGAAGGCGATGGAAGAAGACGTTCTTGATCCGGACGGCCTTTAGAGCCCAAACAGCTGGATAGCGTGAGCGAGGGTGGAGGTCGATATTGAAGGTTCGAGTCATCCGCAGCCCCCCCCACTCCCTTTTCCCTCTCATTCCAGAAGACGTTCTTGATCCGGACGGCCTTTAGAGCCCAAACAGCTGGATAGCGTGAGCGAGGGTGGAGGTCGATATTGAAGGTTCGAGTCATCCGCAGCCGGGGGGGTGAGGGAAAAGGGAGAGTAAGGGAAAGGAGCCGGCAGATCTGGGCTCCGTTTGGTAAGTACATAGTAAAAAGGTTCTGCTAAGGATTCTAATCTTTTTATTTAAGTAAAATCTATTTCCTAGTCCCGTTGCAAGGAGGAATCGTTGGTCCCAAGTCGAATCAGAATCGTCCAGCTGTCCGTGATGTGTCACGTTGTCAAAGTCATGATGGTTTGTCTGAAAACGAAACTGCGAAATTCATAATAATTAATAAGATGCATTTTAAAAAGTTCCAACTTCCCTGAATGAATAAAACCTTGAATTTGAATACGAGGAAATGCTTAGAAAAACTAAAAATGAAATGAACGCTAAAGTAATTAATATACGCAACAAATATCGTCAAAAGAATCAGTCTTCGCACACAGGACAGTCTTCAAATTAACTCCACTCCCCTCCCCCCCTAATGAAAATGATGTTTAAGATGGGTGCATATATTTTTTTATTTTTAAAAAGTATTACTAGGATGAAGCATGCCCTTAATGGTGAGGCTGAGCAGAATTAGGGTGAATGACGAATAATGCAGAATTGCAGACAGCAGCTACCGTGATCATCAATGTCGACTGGGAGCTCCTTTACTTGAAGCACTGGACAATGCCGAAGGTAAGGCGTAAGCTGTTGTCTACGGTACCAAAAAAAACTCATTTTTACTTAAGGGGTGAGGTTTTTACTTCTTTTTCTCGCTTTATACATCCGCACTATCGTTAAAACAACGCAAAAGAGAAAGTGGAGTACCTGCCCAGGTACCACCCAAGTTTAATATAAATAATCGTTATCATCGTTAAAGCATAGCCTTATATGAAGGTCCCGGACTGCTAAATGCTCTGGATGGCTCGCTCGTCCGGGTCACGTGGGGATGTAGTATGAAGAGAATATGTAGTGTAGGATATTGGAAGAGGCATTTCAAGCGTACGCCCAACAACCCTGTCTACGTGGCTGTTAGCAGCCACTTTCTCCTTCTCTACTATGAATCCGTCATCTGCGGGGGCTGGAAGGGAAGTGGATGCGTTAGTCGTATGGCCAAGGACCAGTAATAGAATAGGACTGGACACAGAGGAAGCGGCACGCTTGCACTCCGCGTATCAACATGGATGTCGATGTGCAGGCAGCGCTCCAAGCGGCTGCTGAGGAAGAACACAACATTGCCCAATTGTAGTACATGGATTCCATCCGTCTCCGACCGTTACTCTCTCAGTTTCTTTTGTCGTGTGCACCTTATCAGGAAGATGAATAACACTATGAAACCAAAAAGTAATGTTGTTGTTGCCGATGGAAGTACTTATTCTTCAATATTATCAGACGAGGGGAAGAGGAAGCGGTCGAGAGGCAGCATGCCTCAGCTGACAGAGCTTTGAGCATTGGGAGCGAGGTGCTTTACGTGTTGTACGTGCAGTTTTCTGTGCGAACGTGAATGAAAATTAGTTGTATGAAGCAAACTTGAAGTTATTCAACTTATCAGGTCTTGATTGATTTTGTGTTTGTGTTGTAAGGAGAAAATGTTCATTTTTCGTTTCAGAATACAACCAGTTTTCATGAGTTATTTTCACTGTTATGATGAAAATTGAGAGTTCATTTCAATATATGTAGATGGATCTAGAGTGCCCTTGGACGACCTTCAGGGTTAAGGAGCACATCCTTGAGACGCAATCATGGACTCATATATAACTTACTGTAATCTTCAATACTGATATACGAGGGATAATCCAAAAGTTTCTGCCCTGAGGTATAAGAGAATGTGACAGACTGTTTCAAAATGTTTTATTTTCCAGCATTACCTCCCTGAACGCAACTGCTGGTCCGATCGTTGGAACAGTGCTTCAAATTTATTGGGAAATTTTCATTTTCCACAGTCAAATAAAAACGCATAAATGGCTTCACCGAAGAGAAACCATTGTCAGTTTCACCTTCATGGTCGCTTCACAGGAAGTTTTGCTTAATTTTTTTCTAGTTGAATGAGCTGTTTTATCGGGATGCTTACATTTATTTCATGTGAATTGCTTAATTGTTTAAATACTAAATGCAAATTAACAAATTGCTGTGCATTCAAAATGGTATAACCTGAAACTGAAATTTTTAGTGGCTGAAACATGCCTTATATGCAAATCATTATTTAAATTACTTGTGCACCTAAAACCTATTGCCAGCCCTTGAAATTACTGAAAAGGATGAATGAATGGAAAACAAGTTTCAGCTCTTACCGATCATTCCTACCATCTCACGGCAGAAACTTTTGGATCGCCCCTCGTATTTTGGGGTCCTGGAAATCTGAAGACGTGTTTCCCTCCCGAATTTCAGTCGTAATTCTTACAGTTAATAGCAGAACACCTGCGTCCGCCATGCTTCGCTCTGGATGACTGCTGATACGCGATTTCCAGAGGAATGTCCAGTCCTCTTCCATTACTGGTCCTTGGTATGGCAACATAGAGATGGAGAGACCGTGTGATAACGTCGCACTCGTCTCTTTGAATTTGGCACTCCCCGCCCGCGCCATACAAAGCGCTTGCTGAATCACATCTACTAGGAGGTTTCATATATGAGTTGACGTGCGATATGGAGGTGGGAGTGGCCAATGCCCCTCGCTTGCTCAGGTATGGTACATGCTGTGCTCAGATAAGATATCAGATGATTCACAAGACTGGTATCTATACGTCCCTCTCTTTATCTTGGATTCCATTACTTGTGAGCTATTGGAGACAGGCATATGAACCGATCGCGCTTGTGTCTCTGGCTTTTTCAGCTAAACACTTCAGGAGTACCAGGTCAGTGTTCCTCGTTTTATAGTTGGAGTGATGACATTTTTAAAATGGAAATCGAGGTCATATGTCAAGGTCGCGAATATTTGTTCTCATTTTAATGAGAACAAATGAAACTGAAAATGAATGAAACAAACAAACTCTGAGATGCAAGGGGCAGTTCACATGTTTCCATATCCATCAAATAAAACGAAATCGTTTTGCAAACATGATAAATGCATTGTTCTCTTTTATGTGTAGTCCGTTTTCTTCTACTGGTATAACTGCGATATTTTCACCCACATGTGGTGGCACTGGGTGAAGCTTTTTTGGGTAAGTCGGAACCATTGCCAAATCACCTTTCCGAGAGCACTTTGAGACGGATAGTAGATACATAGATATAATGGAATGTAAATATTTCTGTGGAGTGCTCAATTTTTCCCTGTTCCTATTATTTCGAGTACTACAGTGCTGCTTTGAAAACTTGTTGATTGCCCCTCGTAAATATCATAGAAAATATAATGAAGTGGACTCGATAAATTCCCAACTTCGGCTGTAAGTTATTTAGAGCCTCATGGGCCTTTGGGTGATGACCACCTAACTTGAATCGGTCATTTTGGGCAATATTCATATTTCTGCATCCCAGAAAGTACTTGATTAAGAGAATTCAAATTTGACATGAATTATTTTTCCCATTAACCATACCACAAGTACCACAGTATGTTAATGGCACGTGTTCTCAATGTTGCCTATGTTGCTCTATGTTACAAATTGATTAACAACATCAATGGAATATCGTTATATCCCAATATGTATGCCTATCTTCTAATCGAGAATAACAAAAAGTGATGTGGACACAGAGATCCATATGTGTCATTGCATACAGGAAGGTGCTGGACAATTATCGTGCCACTGTTTTCAGGGCCAGACGAGGCAAAAACCAGACATAGGTATTATTTATAAAACTCCTGAGATTGTAGTTTACTATGTTGTACACATAGTTTCATTTCTAGCAATAATGCCCACATAACATTACTTTGAAATGTGTCAGGTATTTATAGCCCACCCGGCATGTAATGAATATGTAATGATTTGTAACATCAATGCAATGCTCTGTTGCTACATTCAAGCAATGTAATTTACACATTGAAGCGAAATGTTTACAGTAATAATTTATAAATGTTGCTGAAATATATTGTGTCCCACCGAATCACATGAAAATTAGAGGATAGGTGAATTTTCAAAGGCTTGTGCTGATTTCACCGGAATTAACGTATGATAATTCTTTGAATTTCCATTCTCTCTAAGCTCTGCAAAAATATGTCGAAACTTAAAGGATGTAATCAGGATCAAGTGGGCGAAATATTTTTTCGCCCGACGAGTTCACTCATGACTTTTCCACACCTCGGAAATCTAATGATGTCCATTTATACGAAAAATATATGGAAAATTTTCCAGGTGTCATTGTAGGTTTCAACTGATTGAAAAGTGATTGAAAAGGAATGAACTGAATGGATTGTTTTTTCTTGCGGAAGGAGGTGAAAAAGGAAATAACAGCGTGAAACATTCAACTTTCGTCCTGAATTGAATATGTATCGAATGCCATCGCATGGGAAATCAGGTGGTTCATTGCTTCCTCCCTCCCAGAACCAGTCATAGCGAAATGAAATTCCTTTTTTTCCTTTGGTAATCCTTTCAGAATGTCAGCTAGAATTGATTATTTCCTTTTCGCTGTTAATGATTTTGATGTAGAGTGATTTCTCATGCACTGCAATTCATACCGGAACATGCTTCTCCGATCAGCTTAAATGAATCATTTCCTCACGTTAAAACCTACCCTTTCTTTCCCAGAACCTGTGGAGGCTCAGTCGAAGAGGTTCTCCGTCCGTGTTGATACTTCTTGAAGTAGGGCAGAGGTTCAGGTTTGAAATGGAGAGCTTCTCTTCATACCAAAGCTCGTGGGCGAGCTTGGAGCAGTTCCAGATGCACCAGAATGCCCTTGCCGTGGACATCCAGAAGCTCTCGCAGAATGGTATGTCCACTATACTAGTAAAACAGAAAGCTCGATGTATCATATTGCTTGAAAATTCGTTTCATGTGGTTTTCCTTGTTTCATCACGTCCATAGTGCAGTCCCTGAAGCAACTGCTGAACCAGTTGGGTACATCCAAGGATACCAGTCAAAATAAGACTCAAAAGTGAGCTCATTACTGCATTGATTCTGTTTCCCACATATCCAATTATAGCAACAGCACCTGAAGCCCTTCGAATTTGACTGAAAGTAAACTTGAGTCAAATTCAGTGCCATATAAATATAAGTGCGTATGTCGTTTGTTAGTTAGGGCATTCGATCCTACAGTTTAATATTTAATATTGGAATAACACATTAACGCATTCCCAGCTTGTCCTATCGTTACAAATTAACCTCATTTCACGAAACACAGGATCTATAACTAGTGCTTTACATCGTACATTTTCACACTGCATCCTATGTGAATACCTAAAGTATAAGAGCTAACAGTGAAGTGAGCTTCGAGAAATGATGTGATATGAAAGTCTTTGAGTGGGTACCAGACGGGAACTACAGCGCCGCACGAAGCAGATGGCCGAGGACACAACAGCCAATATAAAGACACTCCAAGCCCAACTACGCTCCCTACCCAAGGATGAGCAGGTCAGTATGCTTCCTCATTCTTCGGGCAGTTGTAATATTTCAAAACAAATGATTGGGGATTTTCGCTGGTAAGATAAAATCTATCTAGGTTTGGTTGCACTGACGGATGGAGGACGCATCGATACAGCTAGCGCGAAATGCCTCTGATGCATTACTTCGAAATTTGACAAGGTTCCGTTAAATACTGGGTTTATCGTATTCCTGAATATAAACCATGACATTTACTGAAAACTAATGTGAATATGCGTGATGTGTCATCCAGCTCCTGTGGTTACGCTTGGCTACTTAGCAAAACTTATTCATTTATTTTGAAGATTCTTTTGTGATGAGCATGTTATTGATCAGACGGAACTTCGATTGCAGAGGGTAAAGAAATTACAGTTGGACCGCCTGAGGGAACACTTGATCGAGGTGATGAATGAGTTCCAGAGCCTGCAGAGAGAGGAGCAAGACTCCAAACGGCAACAGAGGGAAGAGCTCCGGGGGAGAGCTCCTTCGCTCACTGTCTTCAGTATGACTTTGCTCCACACACTTCCTCCTTTTCTATTCTTTTTTCACCTCTTCTTTGGGTCAGTCGATTCTGTATTTTTTAAAATATAATGTTCTGGAGATGCATTGCTTTCATTCTTACTGAATTCCTCTCTCCATTGGCAGTGTATACGGGCTGCTCCTATTCTAAGTGATAATTATTCATTCAGAAGATTAATCCATTTTACTGCCTCTTTCAGAAACTAGTATGCTACATCTCGCATCCATGATTCTGAAGTAATAGCCCTGCACCTTAATTCCTACTCTACCAGAGCTTTACGGAGCACAGAGATACATAATTTCTCCAGGTCCTCAATAATGAATTTCAAACTTCCACCCAAATGTTTGTCTCCCCGTTAACCAGATCAAGCTTCAGGAATTCAAACTCACATAGATGAAGAAAAACCTGTCTAGATAGCGAAAACCCTGTTTTATTACAGTAAATAAACTTTTTCCCGCAAATAGAAAGGTGTAACCAAGAAAGGTGGAAGTTACATTGAGCGTTATAATAGGCCACTCGAAGAACAAGTTGGCAGGAATGGTGGACAGAGTGGAGGCTAATGCCATCCCCTTTTCCACGAGCGAAATCAATACCTAATGCCTTCGACGAGCATTTCCAAGTATAAACATGTTCAGTGGATCAGGATCTGAGAAGCATGTTCTCTTAGCGTTCCTATTCTCATAGACGCATTCGCATCTCTGCTAGTTGTTCAGAGTGTATAGTCCATAGAATTTTCCTAGGCTCATATTAACGGACAAAATGTTGGCATTGCTTGAAGCATACTCTGAATAAGTCTTAATTATTAGGAAATGTACCCAAGTCAAATGTACTCAAAGAGGAATGAGGGTAGGCATATGGCTTTCGTGTGACATTATCCCTATAGAGGGACGATGTGGTTTTTTTCGCTTCTTCAACGCCTCCTAATTATATGCGAGATACAGACTGCAACATATTGCAGACGATCCAACTGGACGGGCAGAAGGGAACGGAGAAGGAATCCTGAAGGAACCGAATGCATCAAAATCGGCAGGATTCCAAGGCGAGATCCAGGCGCATACCCTCATGTACGAGGAATTAGACTTGGCTGCACTGCGGGAAAAGGAGATTGCCATTCAACAACTGGAGGTATACCCGAGTGCCCCTTGGCCCATTTCTGTCTCTTTTGTCAAGGCGGTATCCTCTTTAAAAACACGTTAATTGAATACGAGGGGAGGCTCTTAGAATTATGTTTTGCAGCTTGGGCCCGCTTCCATTAATGTGCTTAATCGTCAGATTCCATTGACGCCAGTGCAATTCCTGTAATTTTAGGGACTGATAAATACAGTGTAAAATTTGACATTCTGAGTTCACAGTTCAATGTGAGATTGTGATTGAGAAGGAGATGCAACGGTGTGCAATTGCACCTTTGCATGCATTCGTTTTTGGTGAGCAGGAGGATATTCAGGACGTGAACCAGATTTTCACGAAACTGGCAACTATGGTTCACGACCAAGGGGAGATTGTGGATAACATCGAGACAAACGTCGAGAATGCCCAACTCAGCGTCGACCAGGGCAACCAACAGCTTCAACAGGCAGAATCCTACCAGGTGATACTTTTTATCATTGGTACTCAACGTTTGCACTTCATGTCTTTTGAAAATAACTTTGAGACACTCCATAAGATTTACCCTTCTTTAAACAATATTTCTCTTTTTTGTCATGAGCAGGTTCAGGTTTATAAGCTTTTGGTTCCATATTTTTTGGCTCGATGCCGCTTCAGTTCTTTTGTGCTACATATCATTCCATCATTGTGATATATATATATTTTATCATTTCAGTGTTCATTTTCAAATAATCATTTGTTGAATAACACCTGCATTCAATATGATGGACATGCGATAGAACACCATCGAGAAGTCGATGTTCACTTTTGAATGATTGGCGAAATTGTTCTATGGAAAATGAGATAAGATAATTTTCTACTCCACGTCGGTGAACTGCCAGATTTAAATCGTTACATTTTCTTTCACTTACGGAAAATGGAACGAATTCCCAGCATTTTCGCTGGGGAAAACTAACAAAATCACAATTCCTGCAAGGGAATGAATGTGATACAAAAAATGGCTAAACTAAAACTGATCAGTAGGACAGTGGCCCTTCAATGGAGACATGGTGGGCACTGTCTACCATGCCTCCATTCACTCGGCACTAATACTGAATATCACGATCCGCCACTGAACTTAACTGAAAAATGAAAATTTAAAAGTTGAAAGTGACGAAAGTGTTTCAAATGCAAGAACCATTCACTATCCTTACTAAATGCATATGAAAGGGCTGGTGCGAAATCAGGAGCAATATAATTCCGATGCTCATTAAGGTTTAGGCATATTTCATTCCATAAACTGAATTCCATGATTTTCCAATGTCATATTCCACTTAGAAGTTAAAAAAAACTTTCGTCGTGACATAATCATTATTTTCATTCGTTGAACATCGTGACAATGCAGGAGACCTAATTCGATATATTTAATCATTTCCTGTAATAAATTAAATTGTAACTATTGGTTTCCAGGCATCATTAAGATGGAAGAAGTGCGTAATCGCATCGATCGTCATAGTCTGCGGCATTGTCATTGGCCTCATCATCTACTTCTACACCCGAAAATAGATTTAAAACTGATATCTGGAGAAACCATCCTCTTCCCATAGTGGGGATCTGAATTTCCCAATTGTCCTGTGCAACTGTGATGAATGCCATAATTGCTTTTACTTTTTCTTCTCGGAGCCTGTCCACATGAAAACGGAAAGGTGTATACCTGCGTGTCCAGCTCACTTGAATCTAAACGAGTTGATCAAGACCTCTATTAGTTGCTGTCGATAATATACAGTCTGGAACATCACCAATAAAAATGTGGCGAAGTATTGTGATATTGTATACGTTTCCCCTTCCTTGCCAGAAACTGTCACATTCACTGGGATTGTATTGAATCGTTGGATGTCACACACAGCCCATAGAAAGTTTGTCATCATGCAACGATACTCAACGTTAACAATAACATTCAGTCTTTAACTGATCGGACATATTGTACATGCACTCTGAATGATTTGGCGAATGAGACTAAGACGGTCCAAGGGTCTTGCGTATGGCGGGGGATTAATCAGCAACATTCATAAGCTCATGTCAAGGTTGGAGATCCAATTGGAGGCTGCTGGGGTAAGCTCATGGATATCGTCCAAGGCGAACGGAGTGGACACTGATGGATAATGTGCTGGTTGGTTTGGTATTTGAAACTGAAGTCACATCTGGGAGTGGTCTTGATTTTCCACCAGTGCAAGAGGTGGGCGCAACGTGCGTGCGAGGTGCGGATACGGTTAAGCATGGTCCACTGCTTTCTTGGCAGGTCGAAACCAGTAATTTCTGTGGTGGGATCAGAAACGAGCCTTTTGTTGGGGAAGATGGCTTTGACCCACAAGGTTTTCCACTGTTCCTCCTGGTTAAAGGAGGACGCGTCAAGAGCAATAGCTCTGACCGAGGGCGGGTTCCGGTATTTCAGCCGGGTCTTCGGGGGATTTTTTAGGTCCTCGTTAATTGGAAGATCAGGGTTGGCTTTTATTCGGCTTTTATTCGTTGAGTTGGGCGTCGAAGCCCTTGGTGTGTGCACTGCTCGACCAAACAGGGGCACAGTATTCTGCAGGCGAGTTAACCAGTGCTAGTGGCGCTGTTTGTAGTGTGCGCACCCAGGCACCCCACGAGGTTCCGGCCAGTTTGCGCATGACACTGACCCTAGCCTTCACTTTGTCGTGTGTCTTTTCGAGGTGGGGACTGAAGGTGAGGCTGCGGTAAAGGGTAGCGCCTAAACATTTTGGCTTGGCCTCATTATTTACTGGATGGCTGTAGTAGTTGTGCACATGATGTACTGTGTTTTAAACTATCCTTCCAAGAATGAACTCCAGGTGAAGGCCATTTTTTGCCTAACCCTTGTGTACTAACATTATGTTATGACATGTAGCGACGTAATGGCAGCGACATAAATTCATCGGAAACGTAATACCGGGTGTTCCATAAGTAGGTACCAATTTTAGCAGTTAGAGTGATCTTCGTAATTTTTTTAAATACTAAGAGTGTCAAGCTTTTCTTTCAATGCACTTTTTTTTCCTCCAATAAAATAATTAATGCCACGCACCCACAGTCCTTGGATGAGCTACGAGATCGTATCACTAATGTTATTCAGAGCATGTCCTGTGTCATCTGGGCAAAAGTTATGTATAATTTTATTCATAGTTTCCAGGTTTGTTTTGAAAGAGAAGCGAATATGTTTAGTACTAAATTAAACTTCAAAGATTTCTCTTACTGTTCAATATTAGTTTCAACAGGAAGATATGTTTGTACTTGTTGCTTTCAAGAAATAAAATCGGTACCTATTTACGGGACACCCTGTATACTTTTTTCTAATAAAAAATTTATTTTATTTAGTTTCCTCACTTTTAACGCATACTTTTGAAAATGACCATCTACGCCTTGTAGAGAAATCATCAATGCAAAATTAATTTATCCTTGAATGTTTTCTTTGGCTAGAGTTCACATGCTGCTTGCATGTCGGCTGGTGTTACATGTTTGCAAAACGAAAATTGAGAGGCTTTTAATTTATGAATGCCTCTGAAAGTCAACAGTTGGAAGAAGCAGTGCAGTGTCACCGGGGAAGGTGATTCATACTCTATGATCATATATCAGTGTAAGAAAAAGCTATCACTATAGGAATCCTATGGGATTCAGTGGAATCATACAGAATTCCTATGTGATATCCTATACAAATCCAAGGGCACTTTTATGTTTCAAATATGCAATAGAAATTATACAGGAATTTATTTCGAAGGGACGAAGATAGAAGAGTCAGATGGAAGTGTCCAGGAAATAATATCCATCATGGTCCTTATCTTTCTTGTTGAAACCAAATTCGAAGTATTGGTTTCTTGGGTTCTGGTTTTCGGATTGAGATGGACCTCCGGGCACACGGAGCACTTCCTCCTGCTGCTGGGCAAGGGCTAGACAGAGTAATGCGGCCAAGCATAGGAGGACCTGGAATCAGGAAAAAGGCGCAGTGTCAGTCAACAAAAGCCCTACATTTATACGAGCATTCGCTAAGCTAAACCTTTTTCATTAGGTGTGGCAAGAACATAAATTTTATATAATCTTGCAAAATCATGGCACTGAAGTATGATCGAAGGAGTTAAATCCAGTGGAATGAATGGAAAAGCACTGGTCAACGCGTCGCTAATACGGAACAACTCCTGCAGTTCCGGGCATGGTCTGAGGAAGACGAAAATTCTCTGCCCGTCTGTCGTGGATGCCTTATTCTATTAATTTTAAAATGGCGTCTTATAAAAAGTTTATCAATTGTCATTATTGCCTTTCAAAGAATTTCGATAGAATCGGCTTGCCTCTATCCTTAATCTCGATTTTCTCGACTATGATGCTGGAGTCAGATGAGAGAGAACTTGACACCATTAAACTTCATTTCCCGCTTATACCAAGTTCGAAATGTTTTTACGCTAACAGATTTAGGATGGAGTTGCGCTAGGATGGTCATTTTTCTGTCATTGAAAAAATGAGGATTGCATGATACATGACAGGAAATAGAACTGGAAAGAAGTGAACACGAAACGTGACATGCAGAATATATGAAACAGAAACAACTTAGAATATTTTAAAAAAGGTACCTTAGCGTTTTCTCCGACCAAAGGTAAAATACAAAATGAACCCACCTTCATGTCTTTCGACGAGGAGAAGAGCACGGAACAGGACTGGAACGTAGGGTGGTAATTTTATATCAGATATTTCTTATTTTACTTGTCAGGCAGATTGATGGTTCTTTTTATGAGGCGCCTTTTAGATCGTCAGGTCCGCAAACTGTTCAATGATTCTTACAAGTGAGGACGTGTTGGATAGGGGACGTCTCAGGAAGCTGGTATCTCAATAATGTCGAGATCGGCTCTGACTTTCATAGTGACACGTCCTATGTCACTATCATGACTCTAGAGCAGCTCTTTTAACTTTCAAAGGAGATCCTTTGGAGCATGCGTATCTGGTTTAAACCCTATCCCTACCGCTTGCGGAAAATGTTTGCAGATGGTAAAATGTCTTTCCTATTTTCATACTTCAAAGAGTAAAAAAATACGATGTCAAGAAAGAACTTCAAATTTGAGTGATTTTCAAAATAATATTTCCACTGCATTGGCCCTTTTTCTTAATTCATTAAAATAACCGAGAATAGTTTCCGAAAAGTAGGTTGAATGGAGGACTGTATTACTTTCCTTTACTATTGCTACATTACTTTCGCCCTTTCCATCCTGTGACTGAAAACAGAAAGATACAAGATGGAGTGATACATAATCTCGCAGGCTCTCAACATAGAAAATGTCACAAACACGATCTGAATTTTGAATGGCTCACGTGTATTCCCTTCCGCCGTTATGACAGACACTGAAGGTTTAAGGTGACCAGACGTCTTGATTTTGATTTGGGCGGGACGTCACTTTTTCAGACATGTCCCTTTGTCCATTGTTGAAGTAGGTAGTTCTGAAACAAGATCTAATTCATATTTCAACAATAATACATATAATTGTCAGCGCTGCAAACACAATCTTATTCTTTTTTTAGGAGGTTAGAGAGGTATTCAAAGAAAGGTTCCGTCGAATCCGCATTCGACAACGTGTGGCCTTTCTCGGATCTAGGATGCATTATACAGTCACGTGGAAAGAAAATGGTTCGGCCTTGAGAATCAGGCGATGTTCGAATACCATTTTGACCTTTTTAAGTTGTTCGTCCGTTGAACGCAGTCTTCCTGCTTCGTCTTCCCGGTCTCTCGACTCTTTCACGCCCATTGATTCGAAAAAGTCGAATTTCAATATCTCTCAACGTTTAGGCCTAGGTTGGGATGATACCGACAATTTGTCATGGATTTGACTATCCCCCGATGGATGTCTACTTCATTAAAACGACTCTAATGTTATAATACTTTAATTCGAGGAGATCCAAAGTTGTGGTGGTGGTGGTCGTGGCTGTCACCCCCACGTGCGGGCCTACGATGCAATACCATTCTGGGTCATAGGCCAGGCCTACAAGGCTGCGCCTTTCCAAACCATCATAAATTTTCATTCGAAGACCCTGAGAGTTGTGGTGTGTCATTCCAGCGCGCGAGGCCTACGAGACTAGATCATTTTAGGCCATACGCTAAGCCATCCACCACTCAAAGCGCCAGGTCCATTAGGCTATGCCATCCTTGGCCATGGGCTAGACCATCCAACGCTTTTAGCGCCAGGTCCATTGAGCTATATCAGTTTGAGCCTTAGGTTTCGTACTTAGCTGTGTCAACGTTTTTTTCCTTATTATTTTTTTCCGATAGGTCAGGCATGGCGGTTCGGGACATCACTTCCATGCAATAGTTTTCTGTTTGCGTTTCATGTCATGGCCGAATTATTTAAGTTCTCATGATTGATGAAATCAAAATAATAACGTAAGTCCTTTGTTTCATACGCCGCGCAAACGGGCCGCTCCTCCCATCAAAATTGTGACGATTATAGCGAGGTGAGGTTGAACGTGAAAAAAAAGTTGAATGCGGTCCCACAGGACGGCGATGAGGCAGTCGCTGCAGATAATAAACGATTGGTGCTGGCGCGGAAAAAACGTTTGCCACTGCAGTTGCGGTGCGAAGTTCCTAAATCGGTGCTTTAGGAGGTGCTAGCCATAATGGCCAGAATGACTGATGAACAGTACCCAGTTGCACGTTGGGAGCGTAAGGATGAACAGCAAGAGGCAGCGAATGCTGAGCTCAGGAAGAGGAGAGCCATGCAGCCTGCTCGGCAACATGATGCAAGGAACGCATCACTCAAATGTCGAAAGCCGTGGGGCGGCCGGGAATTGAACCCTGACCTCTTGCTTGCCGGTGAACTGTGCTACCCCTACACCACGGAATTCGGGACATTTTGTCTGGCCTCTCCATGTTATCTCAAATCACTACAGTCGTTTGCGCAGCGAGCACTGTCAGGCTCTACATTTTGCTGTATGGAGGGGAGATTTCCGTGGTGGCTGCAATGTTAAGCAAAAGTGCTTTATTGCAACTCACACTTAACGCTCACACTGTTGTTCACTGGTGCTAATGTGGAGATGAGGAAATATTCGTTAGTATTCTGCGGCACATGCGCTAACTTTCCTCTGTGCTGAAGTCGAACAAGTTCTTGGAAATGGTCCGTACTGTTTCAGAATCAGTGATACCTGTACCATAAGCTAATACCAATAACCCAATTAGTTAATCGATGACGCAAAAGTATTAAGTTTGCTGGGAAGAAGTTGTGGTGGTGGCTTTCACCACAACGAGCGAGGCCTACGAGACTAGATCATTTTAGGCCATACGCTAGGCTATTCACCTCTCAAAGCGCCAGGTCCATTAGGCTATGCCATCCTTGGCCATGGACTAGACCATCCACCGCTCAAAGCGCCAAGTCACTTAGGCTGTGCCATCCGCCCCTAAAAGCGCCAGGTCCTTGGGGCTATGCTATACTAGGCCAAAGGCTTGGCCATCCAACGCACTTAGCGCCATGTCCATTGGGCTATATCAGTGTGAGCTATAGGCTTTGGCTCATCCTATTTTCAAAGGCTTCATACTTAGCTAAGGCAGGCAAAGGGTGATACTAACTGAATGCGTGTCACGTTTTCACTGATCGACTGCAAGTTCATTTGAATGCATTCTGTGCTGAGCTGGTTTCATTCTGTATTTATTTTTTTCCGTTAGGTCAGATGTGGCGGCCATCGCTTCCATGCAATAGTTTTCTGTTTGCGTTTCATGTCATGGCCGATTTATTTGAGTCTGCTTCATATGTCGCGCAAACCAGGTGCATCTCCCATCCAAATGGTGGCAATTTTTGTGCAGGGTGAGGTTGAACGCGAAGAAGAAATGTTGAAGGAGGTCTCACTGGACGGCGATGAGGCTGTAGTTGCTGGCGCGGAAACAACGGTTGCCACTGCAGTTGCGGTGCGAAGTGCCTCATCACATCGGTGATAGCTGTAATGGCTAAAAATAATGAACAGCAAGCAGATGTGCGTAGGGCCGCTGAGACCGCTGAACAGCAAGAGGCAGTGAATGCTGAGCTCCGGAATAAGAGAGCTGTGTTGCCTGCTGAACAATTTGATGCATGGAACCCAGTACTCAGGTGTCGAAACCCGGGGGGCGGCTGAGAATTGAACCCGGTCCTCCTGCTTCCCGATCAAGTGTGCTACCATTACACCACGGAACTCGGGATGCTATGCCTCTCCATGTCATCTCAATCATTACAGTTGTTTGTCGTAGCGAGTACTGTCAGGCTGTACATTTTGATGTAGGGAGGAGGCATTTGTTTCACAACGGAAAAATGCTCCTGCTGCAACTTGCACTTTAGCACCAGTGAGCGACACATACAAAGGCTCAGTGTAATGTGGTGGCGAGGCATTTTCTAGATTTAGTCACTAGCATTGTGCTGCACATGTACTAAATTCCCTTTGTGCCTTCGAACAAGTTCTTGGACATGGTCCGTACTGTTTCAGAATCATTGGTGGCTGTACTACATGCTAACGCTAATAGCACATGAGCTAATTGGTGATGCAAGAGTATTGAATGTATTAGGGAGACGAAATCACCAAATTCGTCTTGAGTCTCATGAAAACGTGCTAAACCGTTCACAATGAACGATTGTGACAATCAGCTGGAATATCGTAATGATGGGGTTCAGGAACAGAATCTCCCTGTGTACTGCAAGCTAAAAGTATATACATGTAATGCAGCGGTTCCGTTCCAAATGGGAAATGAGGTGTACAGAGGATTGTCAAGGAGACGTTATGCTCATAATAGACGATTAAAATTCCCCCCTATTAGACGGCCAGCGTAGCGGCCGCAGGCCGCTAGTATATTTTTATTTTCTTGTATTTTATCATCGATATCGTCATACGTTGAAAACGGAGGGTAATGAGAGGCCAAGGAATGCTTCATTTGCGACTCTTGTTTTTATTTCGAGCTCCTCCCGCCCGATTGCATTTCTACCGTGGGTTCTAGTACTTTTTAATAGTAACCTGTGGTACGCTCGATTGGCCTCCATAGAAAAAAAATAGAATACGTTAATTGTGTCTTCATTTGTTTGCTAATAAATCTCGGAATATATGATTTCTTTCCATAGATTTCAATGGAACTTTTGCATTGCAGAGTTTCCAAGCGACAATATCTTCCTCCTTCAATTGATCTTTGACATTTAGGGAAGCTCCTCCGCCAAGTCCAAAAATCAAAGCCATTACTGTTCACAAAATGTATTTCTTATTGTTTTCATTATCAACTATGGCCTTTCCCTTACGGAAATGTCCTATAGGAAACCTGGACCAGAAATGTTCATGTTTCATGGTTCCAAATCCATCAAAATAATCGCGTCTTAGATTTTTCAATTCAGAAGCGGAAGTAAGCATTCATTCGTATTGAAAGCACTCCTTCCAGAACTCAGGAGATTCGATGCAATGAAAGCCTAACCTGGTACCGTCGAAAGATTTATCTTGAGTATTTTGAGTATGGCCTATTCTTGACCAATTCCACAAAGTCATTCCAAGATCTCTTGTATAATGAAATGAGGGATAAGAGGAGATAGGGAAAATTCCATCCGATCGCANAGGTTCTATAGGGAACTCTATAGGTTCTATAGGGAACTCTATAGGTTCAATAGGGGACTCTTTAGGTTCTATTGGGAACTCTATGGGGCATATAGGATCCTATAGGATTCCTTTAGGTTTCTATAGGATTTCTATAGGATTCATATATATTCCTAAAGGAAAATATAGGAATCCTATAAGACATTTTCGTAAGGGTTTAGCACCACTATTAGACTGATGTGGAAAATTAATGTCTGCCGGTGAATCATTTTGGAACGTTATTGACGCATAAACACAGGAGCAGGAGGTACAACGTCAGATATTA